ATTGTCTCATATGTAACAACCACTTACAATTCACCTTAAGTAATATTTAATGGATTTTTTTCAATAAATAAAACTGAAATATTAACTTAACTCATATCTATGCATTTATTCATACATTAATGTGTTCTAATGTTTTTCATAATGCATCCCCCCCCCCCATAAACCGCATTTCCATGTGTTGATGTTGCGAGTGCAGATGAAAGTCCAGCACACACACAAACACACACACACACACACCTTGCGTTGAGAGAAGAACACCAGCACAGCAGAGATGGACATCATGACCAGCATCAGAATATTAGTGCTGATGTCAACTGGAAAACAGAGAGACAATATGAATGAATGAATTATCTATCAATATTATTATTATTTCTATGATTGTTTTTTGTATGTTATGCTAAAGGATTAATTAATATATGCAAAGTCTTATACCGAACAATGTTTGGTCAAGATGCAGCATTTAGGGCTTTTTATATTGATTTTATTGAACCATTGCTGTTTTTATTGATATATAAAAAATATATAATAATCTAGTGGGGGACATAATCTGATGCCCCTGACAATCTGTGATTCAAAATATCACACTAATGTTCAATAGCTTGGGGTCAGTAAGATTTTTTTTTTTTTAAGAAATCCATACTTTTATTCAGCCTGGAAACATCAAATGTGTCAAAAGTGACAGTAAATACGTTTATAATGTTACTAAATATTTCTATTTCAAACACCATTTATCAAAGAATCTTGAAAAAAAAATTATCATGGTTTCATCAAAAAAACCACTGATATTATCAGAAATGTTTCTTGAGCATCAAATCATATTAGAATGATTTCTGAAGGATCATGTGACACTGAAGACTGGAGTAAGGTGCTGATAATTCAACTTTGATCACAGAAATAAAATAAATGTTACAATATATATTATAATAGAAAACAGTTATTTTAAATGTAATAATATAAATAATAAAATGTAATAATATTTCAAAATATTTTGACTGCATAACTGTATTTTTTATCAAATAATTGCAGCCTTGGTGAGCATAAGAGACTTTTTTTTTCAAAAACAATAAAAATTGAACAGTAGTGTAGGCTTAAATATTTCTGAAGAACGTGGTGATGATCATGTGAACTCTTGGGTCAAAAACTTTTGCTGATAATTTACTCACCCCCATGTCATCCAAGAGGTCCATATCTTTCTTTCTTCAGTCGAAAAGAAATGAAGGTTTTTGATGAAAACATTCCAGGATTTTCTCCATATAATGGACTTCAGTGGGGTCCAAACGGTTCAAGGTCCAAATGAGAGTTTCAGTGCAGCTTCAAAGGGCTTTAAACAATTCCAGACGATGAATAAGTGTCTTATCTAGCGAAACGACCGCTCATTTACAAAATAAATAATAAAGTTTAAGTTTTATAAGCACAAATGCTTGCCTTGCTCTGTTCTGTGATGAGCGTTCATGACTCTCCTGTTTGAACTCATATATCAAAATGAACAAATCTTTTTTTGAGTCATATGGTTCATTCAACGAACGAAATGACTCGAAAAAAGATTAGTTAAACGTAAAACGTAAACTTTTGTATTTATTTTTGAAATGAGCGATCGTTTCTCTAGACAAGACCCTTATTCATCGTCTGGTGTCTTTTAAAGCCCTTTGAAGCTGCACTGAAATTGTCTTTTGGACCTTGAAGTCCATTATATGGAGAAAAATCCTGGAATGTTTTCATCAAAAACCTTAATTTCTTTTCGAATGAAGAAAGAAAGACATGGACATCTTGCATGACATGGGGGTGAGTAAATTATCAGCAAAAGATTTTTTTTTAAAGTGAACAACTCCTTTAAACGTATCCTTAAAATCAAGTGTAACTGAATGAAGTGAACTCACAGACACGCTGGCCCTTGAGAGCCGTTGATTCATGATAGTAGACAGAATATTCCGGTTTATCCCATGAAACCGTAAGAAAGATGCCCACCAGTTTCAGCACATTAACAATCTATAGAGACGACACACACACACACACACACACACACACACAAACACAGAGGGGGTACAGATGAGATGCATGTGACAGAATGAATTCATAAAGGTAAGCGTGTGTCTCAGTGTGTGTGTGTGTATTCTGGCAGCCGGTCTGTTTGGTCTGTCTCCTCCGAGCCAACACCAACAGAACAAGTTACACAAGAACAGCGGTTCATTCAGAAAAACCTGTAAAAGTGTAAATTACATTACACAGACACAACCTCCTCCCTCACATAGAAATGCTATAGACGTATTTATATTTATTCCTAAATATATCGATTTCTCGCACAATCCTTTTTAGATCAATATGTAAAAATGTCTATGCATGTTAGTTTCTCTGTCTATGCATCGAATCTATTGGTCGCTAAATAAATATCAGCTTCAGATAAAGAGATGGATAATGCTGTATGACAAACATTGTGTTTAACTTTATTTCAAGGGAACATTCTTGTAACAATAAGTAACTTTATGTAAACTCGCTCTCATTAGACTATTAGTAGACTGATAGATTAGGGCAAGTAGATTAAATTGACATGTATTTGCAAAGTAACTTCAGTAACACTTTACAATAAAATTCATTAGTTAACGAAAATGAACTAACAATGAGCAAAATATTTGTTACAGTATTTATTAATCTTTGTGAATGTTAAATGAACAAACAATGAACAACTGTATTTTTATGTTAGTTCACGGTGCATTAACTAATGTTATTAGTAAATGTTGAAATTAACAGATTAATAAATGCTGAAGTAGAATTGTTCATTCACTGCAAAAAAAAAAAAAATGCTTTTCTTATTTAGTATTTTTCTCATGTTTCCAGTCCAAATATAAAAAAATTCTTAAATCAAGATGCATTTCCTAAAGCAGTAAAATGACATAAGATATTAAGTCTTGTTTTCTGGGAAAATTAATCAACATTAAGTGAGTTTTTGCTTAAAAGCAAGCTAAATGATCTGCCAATGGGGTAAGAAAAATAATCTAGTTCCTGTTTGAATTAACACTATCTTTATCATTTTGCTTTTTTTTTAAGCAAAAACTCAATTTAATTTATATCAATTCCCCGTAAAACAGGACATAATATCTCATGGCATTTTACTCATCAAGTAAATGCATCTTGATTTAAGAATTTTTGGAAATTTGGACTGGAATCAAGACAAAAATATTAAGCAAGAAAATCATTTTTTCATTTTTTCTGTTCTAATGAACTAACTAATGAACCGTATTGTAAATTGTTTCCATTATTTCTAGTCAGTGTAATATCTGTTGGGGAGCATCAAAATAAAGTATCAGCAGATATTAAGCAGACAGTCTACTAATGCTTAAATGAGAGCTAGATAACATGTAGTTGCAAAGTTACTTTTAGTTATTAAAATATCTAAAGTGGACTATCGATATTGAATCTGTGGCTCAGGAACTGACTGTGACTTCAAAATGGAGCCAGCTTCCTCTATCTGCACTAAAATGTGACAAATGACACATAACAGCAACAAAATGGCCATGCTAATACTGCAAGTGAATGCAAGTTCCAACTATATAAACACACACTGTACGCAGCATCTAATGGTGTGTGTGTGTGAAGCTGTTTTACCAGATATATGATGGCAAACGAGAGGGTCGCCGTGTTGACATGGCAGCAGAGAGTCCTTGTTCCAGACATCTTTCTCTCCGTCTCTTTCTCAATGAGAACAAGCGAGCTGAAACACTCAGAAACACACACGTAAATCCACCCTGCGTCTACTGATGCTCATGCAAGTTCCTGTATGGTGGTCAGGGCTTCCTGTGCACTTTCCGAGAACTTCGTCAATTATTTCTGCCATCACCTTAGGCTTATTTTAGTGATTTTTATCATGAGTTCTACCATAAGAATCTACATTTGAAGTTCTGTGAAAGGATGCATCAGTTTTGTGATGCACAACCGCATTTAAAGATGAGTTTGAACATTGATTATGCGAAATAACTAACATATTTATGGCCTAACACAAGAGTAAGCTCAATTTGAGTAACTTTCTGAGTGACGGTTCAAATCTAAGACACAGGAAAAAATAAATACATAGTAACACTTTATTTTGATAGTACACTTTAGACTACTGACTATAAATAACTTTACAACTACGTCAACATTTTCTACTAACCCTAACCTATCAGTCTCTAATTTAGAGTTAGTTGACATGTAGTTGCAAATTAATGAAAGTTAGTTGACATGTAGTTGCAAAATTACTTATAGTTAGAATGTACGAAGTTGGCTATCGAAACACAGTGTAACCAAATAAATAAATAAACGGTACTTCAATAAATTGTAATTAATTTAGCATTAATAGTATTTAAGTGTGTTTTTGCATGAACCAGCCTTATAACAACTACTCATGGATTCCTCACTTAACATGACTGAAGTTTGCATTTCCAATCATTTAATTTATAAGTATTAAGAGGTCAGACTAAAACCAAACATGCCACAGGCGTTTACTTTTATCTCGCTATATCTGAAAGCAACAGGAAGTGGAAGGGAACTAGAGCATGCATTTGCGTATGTGTGACAGTTATATTAACACTGCGAAAGAGCAGGCTGTGGTGTAATGATCATGCAGTGTTTCTGAAATCTTCTCAATTGTTCTGTGTACAAAAAATATATCAATCGCACCTGAACGTAGCGGAGTAAATCTATGGAGAAAGAGAAGAAAAAGTATGGTGAGGTGAGGAGGTCAGAGGAGGATTGATTTATTCAACAAAAACTTTTAAAAAGGCCTCAGAAGTGTGTTGTAGAGAAGTGCGCAGGTCTGAGATCAATGCGCTTGTAAAACAGCGTCCCCTTGTGGTCTTCTACAGGTGCTCTCATGCTTTAACCCTCAATCTCTGGCTGCGGCTGAAATTGCATACTTCCTTACTAAATAGCAGGCCTGAAAACATCCTACCCTGTGCATATGCCTGATTCCTGTTCACTAGTCCACTGAATCTTGTGCATTTGTATATAATAACCAACACAGCAAAACATCAGAGAAAGAGCATTTTAATAGCTCTTGCACACCACAGCAAAAACAGAAGACAAACATATAAAGAAATGAAAACACTGTCAGTGGATCTTCTCAGTCTGCGCCCTGAAACACAACACAGATGTGTATCAGTAATATCAGCCACAAAATACATATTATAAAATACATATTCATTAATATATATATATTATTAAAATATATATTCATGTGTCAAGAGTCAAGACCCATTTAAACTGTATGATAAATGATAAATTAACGATTTAATTAATCATAATTATACATATATATATATATGAGATTCAATTAATAATTATATATATATATATATATATATATATATATATATATATATATATATTTACTGAATTCAACTACCTGAATTTTTTTTCCACTTTTCCAAATCTTTACTAATTAAGTTCACTTACTTTTAACATTTATTTTAATTAAATCAACAAAAATGGTTATAGTTTTAGTTAACTATAATAATCCAGATTCAACACAAACCCTTTGCAAGGAGCTTTTTTTACTTAAAGGTGCAAAACGCAAGTCTCTGAGTTTTTGCAGAACTACGCCCCCTCTGACGACAAGCGAAACTGTAACAAGAGGTGTGCGAGCTCATGGATCACACACACACGCACGCTTGCACGAGCTGTTCCTAACCAAAGGAGCATCAGCCGCAAACATCTTTTGTTACAGTCATAATGAGATAATAAAGTTATAAATCTGCAAGTCTTATTAAGTATATGAAAGGAAAGGCATTTGAGTAAATTACACACTTATGCGTGTGTGAGGGGGAAACAGGGGTGGTAAAAAACTTCGTTTTTTGTTTCCATCTATCTCCATGTTGAACTGTTTTATGTGCTTACTGTATCCACTTATGATTGTATTATTATAGAAACACGTTCATGAACAATACAAGTTATTACTTTGTATAGGATCCAGTTTGAGCCCTAGAGCAGAGCATCTCTCCATTTGTTGAAAGCCTTCCCGATGTTGATTCTCATCTTATTCCGACGCCTGGCACTAGACAAAAGTTTTATTTTCTTTGTCTTACGTGGGTTTGGAATGAACTACAAGCCGGTCTCATTAAATCCATCTTCTACTTTTGTGGAAAGTTGACTAAAGTTTTGTCGCTTGAGTTGTCTTCGTTGAAACGGAGAATGGCGGCGAATACACAAACCTGCCAGACATAGCCAGGTGAGCGTGAACGCGCATGATGTCACGCATAGTCTCAAACTCCGTCCCGAATCCCTCTTATTTTTTTTACCATACTGGATTATAGAGGCAATCACAGTGATCAGAAAATGGCTCATTGAGCCTATCGGGCAATTGTTTAAGCGTGTATGGGTTAGAATGTTGCATAATGCACCTTTAATGATATAAACTATTGTATGGACTGTTTTTTTTTGCATAAATATGTCTCCACAGACCCTCCAGCATCCCCTGACCCCAGTTTTCAAAAATGTTATCGACTCATAGTGTTCTATAATCAATCATAAAACACAAAACAGACTCTACATTCATATAGCTCAACACATCACCTGCTGTTAAAAGTTGATTGGTGAGAAATCGCAGTGAAAGGTAGGCTCGGCCTCGCTGCCTCTGATTGGCTGACTGGTGTCCTCAGACTCCACCTTGACATTGGGCAGCAGGGGGTCAGTGGTGGGTTTGGGAAGACTGGGCTGCGCCGGCGCTCCCTGGAGCTGAACGTAGTGCTGTTGGGGCAGGAGTTGAGTGTACTGGCTCTCAGGACCCTGTGATGATAACTGTGGCCGAAACACCGCCTGTGTGTACGGACCCGGCTGACTATACATGTCAGTAGTCCAAGGGTAGGCCTGAAATGCTTTATAGAAACATGCAAGTTACCATTTTAAAGGGATAATTCATCCAAAAAAATTTGATTTACTCACCCTCAAGTTATCCTAGGTGTATATGACATTCTTCTTTCAGACAAATACAATCGGGAGTTATATTAAAACATGTCCTGGCTCTTCCAAGCTTTATAATGGCAGTAAATGGCCGTTTCACTGTCCATAAAAGTGCATCTATCCATGACTAAAGATCATCTACTCATGACTAAAGTGCATCTATCCATGATTAAAAGTGCATCTATCCATGATTAAAGTGCATCTATTCATGATTTAAGTGCATCTATCTATCCATCATAAAAGTGCATCTCTCCATGATTAAAGTGCATCTATCCATGATTAAAGTGCATCTATCCATGATTAAACTGCATTTATCCATGATAAAACTGCATCTATCCACCATAAAAGAGCATCTATCCATGATTAAAGTGCATCTATCCATGATTAAAGTGCATCTATTCATGTTTAAAGTGCATCTATCCATGATAAAACTGAATCTATTCATGATTAAAGTGCATTTATCCATGATAAAAGTGCATCTATTCATGATTAAACTGCATCTATCCATGATTAAAGTGAATTTATTCATGATTAACGTGCATCTATCCATGATTAAAGTGCATCTATCCACGATAAAACTGAATCTATCCACGATAAAATTGCATCTATCCACCATAAAAGTGCATTTATTCATGTTTAAAGTGCATCTATTCATGATTAAAGTGCATCTATTCATGATTAAAGTGCATTTATCCATGATAAAAGTGCATCTATTCAAGATTAAAGTGCATCTATCCATGATTAAAATGCATCTCTCCATGATAAAACTGCATCTTTCCATGATAAAACTGTATCTATCCATCATAAAAGTGCATCTTTCCACGATAAAACTACATCTATAAATCATAAAAGAGCATCTATCCATGATAAAAGTGCAAAAGTGATTTTGTGATAAAAGTGATTAATCTTGGATTGATGCGCTATTATGGACTTCAAAACAAAAACGGCCATTCAGTGCCATTATAAAGCTAGGAAGAGCCAGGACATTTTTTAAAATAACTGATTTTATTCGTCTAGAATGTCATATACACCAAGGATGACTTGAGGGTGAGAAAATCATGAGCTAATTTTCATTTTTGGGTGAACTATCCCTTTAAAGACAGGTGTAATGGTGGACTTACCATGAACTCCTGAATGGAGCAGCATCTGGTTGCTGGTTTGAGAATGGAGATACGCATGTCCACTGCTGGTGTACGTGGGGAGTGTGTTGTTGGTGAGGGGCTGATACGGGGCGCTGCTGCTCTCGGTAGGGGCCGGCGTGAGGTAAGGAGAAGGCGTGAGGTACGACAGGTGGGAGTACTGGGGCAACAGTGTGCAAGACTGTTGGGGCATAAGACAACTAGTTTGTTGAGGTAACAGAGTGTTTGTTTGCTGAGAGAGGAAACTATTAGTCTGCTGAGTTAACAAGGTGTTAGACTGTTGAGAAAATGTGTTGAGTTGGTAGTTTAAAGTGCTGTTCTGTGAAGCAGAAGTCATGAAGTCCATCTTCACAGAGGTGCCCATGCCTTCATAATCAAACCTGTAAACAGGAGAAACACATCTGAGGATCAAAATCATGTGACATTAAAAGATTTGATTGTTTTGAACATAAAGGTGGTATTTCAAACTATCGCGACAAAGCAACCAGAACGCATTCATGTAAACGAGAGCTGGTGGTTTGCAGAAACATGATGTAGGCGTGTCCAAAAATGTTTTACTTCATGCAAACAAGCAGTGCGGGGACTACCAATAGGAACGAAGACAGTGGAGCACATGTGATAAGTCTCCTGTGAGACACTATAGTCAAGTGTAGACAGTACTATCATGTCAATCGTAATAATAATGAATAAACCTAACTCATTTAAATGAATAATGATAAATAATCAATACTACAAAATATTATGGCAATAAATAATTCATACAACCTTGACCCCTAACCTTAATTCCATACATTTAGATGTATAGAATTACATTCTATACATTTGACATGTGTGGAAACCTATGTTAAAAAAGTTTCACTAATCTGAATAGGTTTGATTTATGCATTAATAATTCTATTTTGTTCATTATATGATATATTTTACACACAAACACTTTTTCTGATAAATGCTGCAAGAAAACTGATTCAATGTAAAAAACAACCTATATATACCAATGCAAAAGTTTTTTTTTATGTTTTTAGGTCTCATACTCACCAAAGCTGCATTTATTTGACAAATATAAATAAATAAATAGTTATTAATAATTTGCAAGTCACTTTAGATAAAAGCATCAGCAAAATGATTCATTGTAAATGTAAATAAATGTAAGCAAAACAGTAATATTGTGAAATATTATTAAAATGTTAAATAAGTTTTCTATATTAATATATTTTAAAGAGTTATTTATGTCTTCAGTGTCACATGATCCATCAGAAATCACTCTAACATGATGATGCTCAACAAACATTTCTTATTATTATTGTCATATAAATTGAAAACAGTTGTGCTGCTTCATATCTTTGTGGAAACTGTGATGCTTTTTCAGGATTCTATGGTGAGTAGAAAGTGCAGAAAAACAAAATTAATTTGAAATATAAATCTTTTGTAACATTATTATAAGTTTTGGTCAATGCAAAAATAAAATAAAAAATCTAATTTGTGATCAGATTTTCAACAGCTATGGCCAGTTGTGCAGACTAAGGATGGGCAATGATTAATCACGATTAATCGCATCCAAAAGTTTGTGTTTACATAATATATGTGTATGTAGTGTGTATAATTAATTTGTATATATAAATACACACACATACATGTATATATTTAAGAAATATTTGCATGTATATACTTTATATATATTTATACATAAGTAATATTATATATAAATATTTGACATATTAATAACACATTTTTCTTAAATATATACAAGCATGTGTGTATTTATATATATATATATATATATATATATATAATAATTATACACACTACACACACATTTATTATGTAAACACAAACTTTTATTTTGGATGCGATTAATCGTGATTAATCGTTGCCCATTCCTAGTGCAGACTACCAGAGCCCATCTAACGGAGAGCCTTGGCACTTCCTATTAGCCCCGTTTTATGTATCATCCTGGTTGCAGTTCCATTAGAATTCCACTGGAGGTGATCGCGGGCGAGAGCAGAATGAATGGGAGTCTATGGGGCTAAACGGCTAAAAGGGTCTCTTTCACCTGCTTGTCGTTAAATTAACAACGATTTTATTGTTGATTCCGCAAGTTCAATATAGATTATAGGCCAAAAGTCGAATGAACGAGTACTTATGTCCTTTTGATTTCTTACAGGTTGGGCCGTTGTTGGCTGGAACACGCTAGGATTCTGCTATTGTGTGACATCATCACATTTTTGAACGGATTTTTAGAACAGATAAAAGAAATTAAAAATGCAATTTTCAGCTGAGTGTATTATTTTAGCCCTCCCTTTTGAATGCAACTTTTTAAAATTACTTGAGAAAAAATTACATCCTGAGAAAAGTGGATTTATGGGGGTGAAACCACATTGACTCCCATTCATTCTGCACTCGACCGCGAGCGCCCCCGCATGGACAGAGACGTGTTACTGCAGCCAGTCCAGAACCCGGAAATAACCAGCCAGTGCCAATTCTCTTCAATTAGACATTCTCTGAGACTACCAATAATATAAGACATTAAGCAGCAGGAAAGCCTGTAGTACAGACCCCCACTTCTAAAAAAATGCATATATAAAATACCATCTAGCGACACCTAGTGTTTAACAACGGTACTGCATGGGATGAGTAACAGTTCATACTAACCCTGTGTCAGTCTGTAAACTCAGCGGTGTTGTGTCAGTGGAGCTGGGCTCACTGTGTTCAGGTGTGTCCAGCAGAAGGGACACGGTGTGTGTGGAAGGGTTGTATGCCGTGATAAGAGGCAAGGAGGCTCGACGTATCGGAGGAGGACTGTGCATGGGAGGGGGCATGTACTCCAAAAATCCTCCTTGAGACACACAAGGTGCCATATCAACACAACCTGGACCTGATGCACACAGAATATTGCATTTGCACGAAAAACAGGGGTTACAATTTACTTTGATAGCTCAGTTTAGACTTTGCAACTACATGTCAACTCGCTCTCATTAGAGTATTAGTAGACTGTTAGTTTAGGGTTAGAACAATAAATTGACATGCAAAGTTACTTATATTCAGTGTAATGTCTGCATCAAAATAAAGTGTCAGCACTTATTAAGCAGATGGTCTACTAATACGCGAATGACTACTGGTTGACATGTAGATGCAAAGTTACTTATAGTTAGTAGAATATCTAAAGTGGACTATGAAAAAAAAAGTGTTACCAAAACCGGCACCCATGTTTTGAATGTGCAGGCATTTTTGATTAGCTCTAATTAGATAGCTTGTTAAGTCCTATTGTGCAGTTTAAACAGTTTAAGTCCTAATGCATAATTAAATTAAACAGTCCTAATAGCTTTAGGTGTATGTGTGAGTGTGTGACCTGCTGGACTGGTGCGGCTGGTCCGGATGGTACTGTAGGGGGGGAGTGTGTTCCCAGGCTTGGGATGTTGAGAAGGAGCATGGAAAATTGCTGGCCTGCACACACACAAATGAATTATACAATCGAGTAAATGCATTACATCGCACAATATGTCTGCTGCATTGCGTAAACACTAACCTGTTGACCTGGACACAGGTTTGACCCCGACTAGCAGGCTTTTTTGTTGTGGTTTTCGACGTTTTTCTCCATTTGGCTCGACGATTCTGAAACCACACCTGATGGGAGGATCAAAGTATAATTGTCAATTGCATGTATTTTGATGAATTGAAACACATATTAATGTGAGAAGTGGCTTGAGGTCTTAAAGGAGTAGTTCACTTTTGAAAAAAACTTTTGCTGATAATTTACTCGCCCCATGTCATCCAAGATGTCCATGTCATTCATTCTTTCATTAAAAGGTTTTTGATGAAAACATTCAAGGATTTTTCTCCATATAATGGACTTCAATGGGAACCAAATGGTTCAAGGTCCAAATGACAGTTTCAGTGCAAACTGCAAACTGTTCAAAGGGCTTTAAACGATTCCAGACAATGAATAAGAGTCTTATCAAGCGAAACAATCGCTCATTTAAAAAAAAAAATTACAAAGTTTACATTTTATAAGCTCAAATGCTCGCTTTGCTCTGTTCGTGACTCTCCTGTTCAAACTCGTTTATCAAAATGAAAGAATCTTTTTTCGTGTCATATGGTTCATTCAACAAACTAAATGAACGAATTGACTTGAAAAAATCGTTCATTTTGACACGAGAGTCACGAACTCGCATCACAGAACAGAGCAAGGCGACCATTTGAGCTTATAAAACTTAAACTTTGTTGTTGTTGTTGTTTTTTTTTTTTTTAAATGAGCGATCGTTTCACTTGATAAGACCCTTAATCGTCGTCTGGAATCGTTTAAAGCCCTTTGAACAGTTTGAAATTTGCACTGAAACTGTCTTTTGGACCTTGAACCGTTTGGACCCCATTGAAGTCCATTATATGGAGAAAAATCCTGGAATGTTTTCATCAAAAACCTTAATTTCTTTTCGATTGAAGAAAGAAAGACATGGACATCTTGGATGACATGGGGGTGAGTAAATTATCAAGTAAATTATCAAATTTTTGAGCAAAAGTTTTTTTTTTAAAAGTGAACTACTCCTTTAAGGAATGGATGCCTGCGGGCAGTGACCATGATTCTCTGGGGCGTAACACCGATGGAGGCCGCAATCTCCTTTCTCTTGTCTCCATCAGGGTAGTGATCATCCTGAAATACACGCTCCAGCTCCTCCAGCTGATCTACACACACACAAACACACACACACATACAAAGATGTTGGTACACCTATTATTATGAAGATATTCCACTCTAATGTTTTTTTTATACTGAGCTAATGACATTTTCTAGCACCTACCCATTTTTTAGTATGATTATTTAGTGGTATGAATTAAAGAACATGTCCTCATAAATGACTTTTGGCATGGCAGTGTATATATGTATGAATATACAAGTATACACACACACATATTGATACATGTATATAAAAATCACATCTGTAAAGTTTTCTCCCGTGAAACACTAATGAAGACTTTTTTTCCATACATTGAAAGTCAACGGGGTCCAAAACAACACTGGACAGGATAGTATGGACAGTAAAACACTGAGATTTTTCAAAATATCCTTTCTTGTGATTCATACAGGTCTGGAATGACATGAAGGCGAGTAAATGGTGACAGAATTTGTAACTTTTCTCAGGTTAACTACCCTTTTAATATGTACGTTCTCTCACCTGTGCTGTAGAAGGTGCGCGTTTTCTTCTTCGGAGGCAATAGAGGGACATCGGTGCTGATGGAGGGTAAAGCCTGAGTGCTGGTTTCTCCTCCGACGGAGGCCAGAGGCATAGGAGCCGCTCTGCTGGCGAAGCGTGTGTATTGGCGAGTGGTGTACACCTGTCGTAGCGTCACCTCCAGGGGCCTCATGGCCTGGGGGTCGACAGCGGGGCTGCTTCCATAGGGCCGTTTGCCCAAACACTGGGGCTCCAACTGGGCCTGTGCTGGGACCTGAGCTGGAAGGAGAGGATGGGGCAGAAAGGGGAGTATTGTGGGATTCTGAGGTGGTAATGTGATCGATAATGGTTTCGGTGGGGATTTTATAGGGGCCTGCTGGGAGAAATCTGAAGACTTGGGGGGGCATAACGAAAGGTCTTCATTCACACATCTCGGCTGATCACACACCATCACCAGGTCTATGGTGCAGTCGGGGCCCATCTGCAAAATACAGTCGTCCTCTAGAGGAGCCACCAGCAAGTCCCTTGCCTCTTCATTGTCATCATCCTCATCATCTGTCTTTCTTTCATCATCTTTTAAACCAAACACACTGTCCTGCTCTTCTTTTTTAGATTGTTCATCTGATTCAGCATTATGTTCTTTCTTGTTTTGCTCCTCTTCTGTGCTTTTCTGCTTGGTGTCTTCAGTTTCGTTTGCTTCTGTTTTGTTTTCCTCCTCTTTCCTCTCTGTTTTCCTTTCTTCAGGTTCTTGAACTACAGTCCAGTTCTCCTCAGCTATTTCCTCTGGTTTCACCTCAGAGTCCCTCTTGAACTCCTGTGACTCCTTGTCTTCCGCATCGTTTTTTATTTCGCTCTCATTTGCATGCTCTGTGTTTCTGTATCTGCAATACCCTATCTGCTCATCTTCTTCACACAGAGGACATGGACCATCTATAAACATGACATGGCAAGAAAAAGGAAATTATAAGACAAACACTAATCAGGAATTTACTCCAATTCAGAACTGATTGATAACCGTTTTGGTTACCATTGACTTTCATTGTATAAAAAAGAGACATTCTCAAAATATCTTCTATGTTCCACAGAAGATAATCATACAGGTTTAGAATAACATGAGGTGAGAAAATAATGACAAGAGTTTTCCTTTTTGGATGAACTAGCCCTTTAACTTCGAGACATGGCACAAAAAAGAAACTGTTTTAATTTTAGAATAACTTATACAATCGTTAACAGTTCAAAGTTCTTTATGCGTTTAAGTTCAAAGCAGCTGGGAAATAGTAACAGTAAAATAGTAACAATTGTGTATGCGCGTGTTCGTGTGTGTAACAATAAGAATGTTTTATCGTCCAGTTAAAAGTTACAAACATTACTTTATGGGGACGTTTTAAAAGTGAAGTTTTCTCACGTGCTTGTTTATCACTAATTAGAGAATAAATTGAACCTCCGCCCTGAGTGTCAAACCATTAGACCTTTTATCCGTTTAGAAATGAGACCAATTAGACAATTATCGGTGTCAAAAACAATGAGTCAATTTAGCTCATTTACATCAAATCACCCACCGTAATCACTGACAAACAAGGCTTCTTCGGCCATCGTGATGCCCACGCGCACTGCCCTGTATCTGTAAATTAGATGTTAGTTATTGAGCTTGAGTGAAGCACAAACTCCAGCATCAGTATTGATCTTGATTGATAACCTGCAGACGCTGCTCAGGTTACATCACGTGACGTGACATGCACAGGAGGCGTGTTTCAATGTGTGTGTGTGTGTGTAGGTGCGCTTTACCTTCCCTCAAATTTTAATCTGTATTAGCTTGAATGAAATGGTAAAATAAAAATAAAACGATTTATATATATAGGACTATTATCATAATGCCTGATATGGTTTGTTTGACTATATATTTTATTAGAAATTAATGAGAGCAACAACAAAAGTCTGCTCATTTTAAATTAATTGTTGACTCATCTGAGCTTTTTTTTTTTTGTAAAATGACAATGTATGGTCAAACTTAAAGAAGTAGTTCACTTAAAAAAAAAAAACTTTTGCTGATAATTTACTCACCCCCATGTCATCCAAGATGTCCACACCTTTCTTGCTTCAGTCAAAAAGAAATTAAGGTTTTTGATGAAAACATTCCAGGATTTTCTCCATATAATGGACTTCATTGGGAACCAAATGGTTCATGGTCCAAATGAGAGTTTCAGTGCAGCTTCAAAGGGCTTTAAATGACACCAGACGATGAATAATGGAATAAGGGTCGAAAAAAGATTTGTTCATTTTGATAAACGAGTTTGAACAGAAGAGTCACAAGCGCGCATCACAGAACAGGGCGAGCATTTGTGCTTATAAAACTTAAATTTTTTTATTTATTTTTTAAATGACCAATGGTTTCGCTAGATAAGTCCCTAATTCATCGACTGATGTCGTTTAAAGCCCAGTGAATCTGCACTGAAACTTTCATTTGGACCTTGGACCGTTTGGTTCCCATTGAAGTCCATTATATGGAGAAAATCCTGAAATGTTTTCATCAAAAACCTTAATTTCTTTTTGACTGAAGAAAGAAAGACATGGACATCTTGGATGACATGGGGGTGAGTAAATTATCAGCAAAAGGTTTTTTAAAAGTGAACTACTCCTTTAATTTCAGTCTGGAGCATTTTGCCAGCTTTTTATGTTGGCTCAAAGGGGTTCTGTTCAGAAGATAAAAGTCTAGATTTCATAAGCTAAAAGTAATGCTGCATCCGAAATCGCATAAGGTGTATAGGTACTACATTTGACTAAAGGACTAAACAAGTATTTAATAGTTTCTACATACTACATCCACCATGTTGTCATTTTCATGTGACCTACCAGTGTCAGTTGCTTCACTAACCACCATTCACATAATCATCTACCGAAACATTTCCTTTGTAAGTTTAGGAAAATCATTTCTGCTTTCTGCTCTTTGCACTTGGAAACAGAACCCCATATTTTCTGGCATTGTAGTCATGTGAAAAGATTATGGTATGAAGTGTCTATGTTTATTAAGGATAAGGTAGGCTACTTTTTAATTTTGTTTTGTGTTTTGAAAATGTAATTTTTGGATATTTCAAGTATGATAACAGTGTTTAAGGAGGCTTTTGTAATTAATTTGTTAATTTTATTAGTCAAATTTCACATCCATAAGTGTAAGTTTTCTAACAAAAAGCCCCTTTTCTCTGTATTCCTTATAGAATTTGAAAATATTTTTTTCTACTATTCAATCTATTACTAATGCAAAAGCTAATAAGACTGTACATTTGTGTACTGTCCTCAAAATCTTTGATTGATACAAAGATCTTTTTTTCTTTCTTTTTTTTTTGTGTGTGTGTGTGTGATATTTTTCTTATGTAAATGCATGGTCATTTCTCCCCTGGCTCTAATGTGTATATTGTTTTGTTTAAGCAAAAAACAACAACAAAAAAACTCACATAATCCTCTCCCGTGGCCTCATGGGACAGTAAAGTGTCCATTGTATTCAAGTCTTCAAGTCTTTGACTTCAAGTCAAACACACCTTATATGGCGGCTTCCAAAAGCGCATACTTGACTAAGTATGCGTTTTTGGAAGCTGCCATATTAGGTGTGTTTGACTTGAAGTGGCACTGCGCAGACCGATCGGTGTTTGTGTGACATCAAAGTACTGCAAGAGTGATTCATTCTGTATGCTTTCGAATCACTCGCGCAGTACTTTGATGTCATACACCAATCAGTCTGTGCAGCGCCGCTTCAAAACAAACACCTATTGTAATGCCTGCTACAGGTAGAGCGATTTCAGAGGGAAACCTATAAGATCATTACAAATTACACTAGCCATACATACAACATGGATCTAATAAACTTGGGAGCGACATGTGACTGTACGATGATGACACATATTGAATCGCAGGCTACGACGCAAGTTAGCATTGAAGAATAAAATCAGCATGTAAACAAATAGAGTAAAATGTTTTTAATGTGCACTGAAAAAAGAGGAGAATGTTGATGCGGTCATGGCTTGGCATTACCAATTTTGTAAATTGACCTTGAGGTCAGTATTTAAAATTTTTTAGCGCCATGTCGTGTTGAACAATACACCATTTCATATTGCATTTTTACAGGCTTTGTCCTAGCAGCAAAAACACTGAGATGATCATGCTAAATTTCTGACACTGTCAGATAATGATCGCAGACTATCTTGACAAAGGCCACCTTTAAACCTCTCTAAACTACGTTAACCTTTTTAAACGTAGAAACACCATTTAGGAGTCACAATTGGTCATCTTTCGTCTGGGACAGCCCGAAATCATACAATGTGCACCGGGCATTAGGTCCAGAATTCTGAGCACTCAGTCCAGATACAGTAATATCTGTATTACTAGAGTAGTCTTTATAATTAGAGTATTATGTTTTTCCAAGCATAAGCATCTTCAGGGTTTTAACCAATTAAATCACAGCAGCTACAGAGATAACCAATCAGGTTTTATTTTGAATAGAGTGGCATATTAGTGACAGAACTTTGCCTCTTTATACACAAATCAACCAATGAGGAAAAAAATTAAAAACAAAGAAAACAAAAACAAAAGTTCTTTTTAAAAAAATGTGCATGTATAAAACCACGCTGGGCGACCATCAGACCAGGACCATGCTGGTCTGTGATTGGCACACAGACACAGGAAGGCCCGCCTCATATTTGGCTATGAATAGAAAGAGTTACCGGTAGAAATGAGTAGAAAAGACAGCAATGCAAACTCAAAGTTCAACTGACATCCACAACATGAACACACAGCGAGCTCCAGGCGTTCTGGAACGGACAGGTGGGTGTTTGTGGTGGGGAGGTGTGGGATTCACGAGGACATGTGAATGTGTTTCTCACACGATTAGATTGTGGTGGGGTGAAAGCTGTGAACATTATTTTGATCGAAATATTAAACCTCCAGCACCAACAGCATTTTTTTTTTTGTACAAAAATGACTTTTTAAACAATCATCATGTCTTAATACCTGAATTTCACATACTAATTGTAGGCTTACAACTATCTGTTTAGCATGTAACTGTTTGATTAACGTTATTCCAGTTCATATTCCAATTAGACACTAATGATTGCTGAGGTTTTGTGAATATTTGTCGTGACGTGTTAGAGCCGGTCTCTTGGACACAAATGAAAACATGACCAATTTAATTACCATTTATTTCTGCTTTTTTGACCAATTAAATAAAATATATCCATTATAATTTGTTTCGATATAATTATAAATTTTAACAATTGCATTTTTGTTGCACTCTAATTAGTTGTTTGTTTCGTTTTTAGTTTTGAGATTTTATTTTTTTATTTAATTTCATTTTATTTAAGTCAACATACAGATGTGCAATGGCATTGTTGCTATTCTTTAGACCTCTACTAAATGGTTCAAGTAGTAAATGTGAATATCGGTAAAAATATCAGTCCTCAAACCGATTATAGTCTCGATCCAAACCGATTATAGTCTCAATCCAAACCGATTATCGGTCTTGAACCAAACCGTTTATCTTTCCCAATCCAAACCGATCATAATCTCGATCCAAACCGATTATAGTCTCGATCCAAACAGATTATAGTCTCGATCCAAACCGATTATAGTCTCGATCCAAACCGATTATCTGTCCCAATCCAAACTGATCATAGTCTCGATCCGAACCGATTATAGTTTCGACCCAAAACCGATTATAGTCACGATCCAAACCGATTATCGGTCCCGATCCAAACCGATTATCTGTCCCAATCCAAACCGATCATAGTCTCGATCCAAACCGATTATCGGCCTCAATCCAAACCGATCATAGTCTCGACCCAAACTGATTATCGGTCTCAATCCAAACCGATTATCTGTCCCAATCCAAACCGATCATAATCTCGATCTAAATGGATTATAGTCTCGATCCAAACCGATTATCTGTCCCAATCCAAACCGATCATAATCTCGATCTAAACGGATTATAGTCTCGATCCAAACCGATTACCGGTCTCTAACATTTACTCAGTGTCCAAGAGACTGGGCCTTACTGTAATAATTTGATCAAAGGTGTGCTGTGATGTGTCATAAATTCTTCTAGGTCCTATATAATAATAATAATAATAAGGCCGAGGCTGTGATGCTATGAGTAACAGGTTTTGTGTGTTTGTGCAATTGTCAGTGTCGTATAGCAATTTAAGTGCAGGGAGAAGAGACTATCCCCACAAAGGAAGAACCATCAGGGAGTGAAACACACTTGCAAATGCATGAAAACAAGCCAATATACACACTCACACACTGTTCATACAGAGTACAATATTCAAGCTACAGGTACTGTTGCACAGGTGTGACATTACAATCTTAGACTGAAGTACAACCACCCTGTATGGGTCTCAAGATTTCCCCCACCTCCCCAAAATATCCCACAGGCTTCTTGAATGTGCTTTTGTACACACACTCAGTAGAATATGCTTGAGTGTAGATTTCTCACATAAAAAAAAAACCATCACCATGCATTCTAAACGCATGATTTGTGATAGGAAGCGTTATTTGATTTGATGTCACGTTTCAGTGTTATGGCAGCTTTACCCTCAGCGATATGTTTATAAATGGGGTTGGGTATAATCCTCCGTTACTGTGGATATAAAAAAGGAAATTTCGGGGACTGTGTGCCGATACTGCGCACAAGCCGTCCCAGACTCGCTATAGTACATTTGCACGTTCAGATATTTAAAATGATATGTGTTAAGACAAGTAATGTCATTTCAGCATTTTGCTAACATCTTGTGCTACATCTGCGAGTAACACTGACATCACACCACATGACATGTCACATACATTCTGAGCATGTCAACCACAGAGTTTGTTGTTGATAGCTTGTTATTGCTAATTCATGCATTTCTAGTCATTTTGCTTTTATGAATGAAATGTATTCTAACATAACACATTAAAACAAAACAAAATAACCCAGGAAAAAAAGTGATCGTAATTCTGAGATCGTACTATACTATTTAAAGGCTTTCAGCTTGGATATCTTTGTTAGACACGCGTTTATTCTCCCGAACCGTTAAGTTTATGTTGCATCTGTTACCCACAGCGATAATATTAATATCCCAATCCCCTTTTCGCACAAGTTCCTTATCAACATCCGTCTTGAGCAGGACGGTCCATCAGGCTGGTTAGTGCGAGTGGAAATGTCTCCATTTGACAGTGGACAAGACCGACCTTTCAAAACAAAAAACAGGCATTGACTTATGATCAGCGAAGCACTAAACGCTGAGCATTCAGCATTTCTGCAGGTTTAACTGATTAACATCTTTTTTCAAATGATGTCCAGGTAGATATCCATAGCATGTGTGTGTGTGTTTATTTTTTTTTACTACAATAACATGGTTAAAAGCATTACAAACCAAAAAAAAAAAGTCAAGTTGATATTTACACCGATAAAACCTTACTGCACAGCTAAATAGATAATATCCTTCACTACGAATATTATGATCACCAATTTCCTTCCATTCAGAGCTGCTGATATATTATTGATTATTACTAATGATTACTAAAGTTTTTATACAGAGCAGAGGAGAGGCTAGTCCTCTGATTCTATGCATGCGCTCCCTCACAGCAAACCTTCAGTGTTTTTAATGTGTTGGTGTTTCGGGCTCCCTGCTCCAAACGGAGGGTACCGTCGTGCCAACACATGCTCTCGCCAGCAGAGGGAGTCGGAGTGTGTGTGTGTGTCCCCGCGTGTCTAGGCAGGGGTCACAAGGGCACCTTAGACATACAATCACACACATATGCGCAAGCACACACACACACACACACTCACTCTGCTCGAGCTCTGCTTCTAGCACCAGGGAAATGGAAGGCACCACACAACGCTAGATCACTGACCTTGGTGACAGAAGAGCATTTCGAGTACAGACTCTACTTCTGCCATGCAACTCTTATTTCTGGTCCTTTTTCTCCCTCTCGCCTGACTTGCACAAACCCCCCATGACCCCCAACTGTGTTCTTGTCCTCTCCCTCATTTTGTTCATGCTTTTTATTTTATTTTTTTTTGCTCCCATGTTTTCAGTCTGAGAGTAATATTGTGCAGGAAACATGTCTGAAACGGAGTGTCTTTAAAAAAAAAAAAAAAAAAAAAGAATCTGGTCATAATTCCATAGAACAACAATCCTAAACATATCAATAATAACATGTTCTTAAAAAAGTTTTTTTCTTCTCTGTGTGTGTGTGTGTGTAGGCTCAAGCCCCGCCCTCTCTGACCCCACCCCTAGCACAAGCCCCTCCCACAAACAATTCCATTTTTTTCTACTTTGATCTTTTTCAGTTTTTTTTTTTTTTTTGGAAAAGAAAGTTCAGAGTCCGTGGAATGAGAGGCACTCTCATTGGGAAAATAGGGAAGAAAGGGATCAAAGGAAAAGGGGCGAGATGAAAAGAAGGGGGGAGGGCAGGTAGAAACGGGACGAGGTTGGAGAAATGGAGGAAGGTGAACGTATGAATGTTAGGCGTAGAATTCTTCCTGCTTGTCCGGTTTCTGGTAGGTGACGGTGGCTTGTTTAGGCTCCTCCAATGTGTAGCTGCCTTCATCTTTCTTTTTCATCCGGTAGACGAGTAACATTACGAGGAACGCAGCGAAGAGAGCTCCGACTACACCTCCGACGATCACCGCTGGAAGAACAAGAGACACTGATTACTTACAGCATTTCTAACTCACGTCGTTATGAACACTTCAGCAACAATCTTAAATATATTTTTTTTATATTTTATTCATTTTAGCTGACACTTTTATCCAAAGCGCCTCTGGAGCAACCCCTAGGTTAAGTGTCTTGCTCAGGGACACATTGGTGTCTCACAGTGGATTCGAACCCAGGTCTCTCTCTCACACCAAAGGCATGCGTCTTATCCACTGCGCCAAATTACATTTCAGATATATTTCGAAGTTATTTCAAATTGTAATAATATTTCTTAATATTAAAGTTTCTACAGTATTTTGGAATAAATAAATGCAGCCTTGGTGAGCATAAGAGACTTTTTAAGAGACTCATTCTAAAATATCATGACATTGATCATGTTCATTTTGAAAATCGGTGTGAGATTTTATGGGATGCAATGCCACCAACGAGCACAACTATAAATGAACTCTGAAAGAGACAATCGATATCAGTTTCATTATTGGTTTTGAACCAAACACATTGTGCGATTAAAACCAAACCATCGGAAAGAGCGAGAAATAGAGACACAGACAAACAAACACAAAACACACTTAAAGCTGCGGCCGTAGTTTTTCCTCTTTGTCGCCATCTCTGTTCGGAATCTGCAATTGCAGTTACTCGCGGAATTATCAACTTTACATGACGAGTTGTGTTGTAAATCGTGCTGATTAAATCTAACGATCGCTAATCGTATCACGTCAAACCGTGCAAATTATACTTTGGTCCCAAATTGTTAATGTTAATAACATCAGCAATGCGTGACTACATGTAAAGGCCTTCAGATATGTATCCTTGTTTTCGCATGTGCCGGTTGCAGTATCACTTTTTTTCATCATTTGAAATTTGTCATTTGAAACTTTCTGGATCCACCATAAAATGAATATGTTTATTATATCAAGTGTTGTGAGGAAAGGCTATAAATCTCCACCTCCACCGTCCTCACACGCAATACAACTAGTCGAGACTCTTCTTTGTGTACAGATGTGTGTGTACGGATGTGACGTAATGACGCAAACACATGCTCGAATCTCCTGTGGAAATCCTCCAGTGCCACTGGAGTTAAAAACATTATTACAAGGTTACCGCTTTGAATCGAGCTACGGCAAGCAAAGAGTTTTGAACACTGGCTGGTTATGTACTTGCTCAATTTATTTTGGATCATTTTTAACCCAACAAAAGTTACGGACTGCAGCTTTAACCAAGGCAGGGAGAGTTTTAAATCTCTCTAAAACTAAAGCTTAACTGCGAGAGCGCAAAGTACGATGTATGAGCTAAATCCACACTAATTTCACGCTATAGCCTGCGACTCCTACGTCATTACCTATGACCAGGAAGTCTGCAAATACAAAGGCAAACAGTCCTCCAATCAGAACAGCTGAGGAGAGAGAGACAGCATATCAGGTGACAGAGCGAAACGAGAGAGGAGAGAGAGAGAGACAGAGGCGCAGCTAAACAAACAGAGGAGAAGGTGAATGTGAATAAGGAAGAAAGACAGAGCAGAAGAGTGTGTTCTTCACAAACAGAGAGAGAGAGGCTCTTGATTGAGATCATGAGAGCCAAGCTGTTCTTAAAGGGATAGTACACCAAACATAAAGTAAATCTATATAATTCTAACTCATTTCTGGGTGAACTGTCCCTTTACACAATCGATACTCTAAACAAATGCATATTGCTTATAGATAATGACTAAAAGGTTTTGTGAAATGCTATTTCATGCTTGAACCTTGAACATAATATTTACATTACCATTCAACGTTTTGGGGTTAGTCAGAAGTATGCACGTATGCATTAAATTGATCAAAAGTAACAGTACAGTAAAGAGATTTATAGTAATATGAAATATATTAATATGTTCATTTTAACTTTGTGTTTATTAAAGCTACACTGTGTAACTCTTTTAGTTTATTCTTAGCTAAAAACACTGAGTTCTTTCAAAAATATATGTGCTCATTAATGTATATTTACTTTGTTCAAGAAATAAAGTATTCTTGTGAGTGTATAATATGCCATTGAAAATACATACGGGTAAGGGGTTCTAATGTTGGTCGCCATGTTGCCCCTCCATCTTGAAAGTACATTAGCCAAAGAGGGACATACCCGTTAATTCAAGCTTCGCCTTTCGCGTTTACGTTTGAGTTAACACTCATGGACGAGGTCGAACTGGAAGCCATGTTAATCTTGGACTACATTGGCTACCGTAGGAGTTAAAACGAAATCGGAATTGAGAGGAACAGAAACTAATATTCACTGGATGGTCATATACCTATCCACCGCTAGATGGGGGTAAAAATCACACAGTGTAGCTTTAAACAATACTGAAGAAAATCATGGTTTCCAAAAAAATACGAAGCAGCACAACTGTTTTCAAAATTGATAATAATCGGAAATGTTTCTTGAGCAACAAATCAACATATTAGACTGATTTCTGAAGGATCATGTGACAAGACTGGAGTAATAATGCTGAAAATTCAAGTTTGATCGCAGGAATAAATTACATTTTAAAATGTATTCAAATAGTTAGCGTATATAATGTTTCACAATTTACTGTATTTTTGGATCAAATAAATAATGCAGCTTTAGTTAGCATAAGAGACATCTCTCAAAAACACTGAATGAATCTTACTAAACCCCAAACTTGCTTTATAATAATGCCAATAAAGTGTTTCCGCTGTGTGGTTTCAGTATGATCTAATTATTTGCATCGCATCTACTCTTATAAGCTGCAGGGAGACCGACACAAAATATGTACAGAAAAATAGAAAATCAAAGATATATACAAGACAAAAAGACAGACAGAAGTCAAAAAAGGTAGGATAGACTGAATTGGGTTGTGGAAGGTGTTTTGAGCGTGTCTCATCTCTCACCTATCAAGACCTCCTTCCTCTCGAGGATGTTCTTCTGTGGAAGTTGAGCAGCCGAGCTTCCGGCAGCGTCTACTGTGTTCCCGGTCAGATCCGGTTCTCCTGCTCCTCTTCCTTGACCGAGCTCGTTGCCTTGCCTAACTTCAGTCTCGCGGATCTCAAAGTCACCACTTGGACCTTGTCCTGCAACTTCATTATTTACAGTTTCATCTGTTGTTTGTGTCTAAATGAGGAACACAAGGAAAAAAGAAAAGAAAAAATGATCATAACCTTTCACAATTGCACAATAGATCATGTGTAGCTAAAAAAGAACATTTCCAGGGAAGCAGAGCAAAAACTGCTGACCGACCGACCGTCCTGTAAAAGTGCTTGGTTCTGAATGCATCGTAAATCCGGTTTGTGAGAGTAGAAATAGCAAAATTGTCTAAATCATCTGACAAAAGTAAGATTTTGATGCAATATGCACAAACTGAACGAATGGCATTCATTCACAGATGACATTCATATGCACAAATAATACAAATAATATTTTTTTTATTAGTCTTAAATGTCAAAAAGGTTTTTGGGGCCACTGTATTTGAACCCATTGTGAATGAGAGCATGCTTACAGAGCAAAAGTATGAATGTAAACAGCAATAATGGAATTAGGGATGGACAATATATTGGTACCATATCAGTTATCGGGTAACATTTTTACGTCGAGTTGACCTCGCCATCATCTAACTCTCACTGAAACCTAATCTTTAAAAACATTAATAATTCATTAATACATTTAAATGTTATATCTGGCATATTTTAAAATCTGTACTTTATAATGTTAAATAAAATTAATAATTTCAATGTTAAGTGTTTTATGTTTAATTTAAGATTAATTTCTTATAAAATTTTAATACCTTTTTAATTATTGGCATGTCTGTATTCCCAAAATGTTCATGTCGGTGCAGCCTTGCATGGAATGTTATAATTGTTTTATTTAAGATTCATATAGATAATATACAATTTTAATATTTATCATTTATTGAAAATATTTACTGGCCTATCTGTATTGGCAAGAATTTTCATATTGTTATATTCTAACTAACTAACTAACTAACTAACCAAACTGACCAACTAACTTACCAACAAGCAAACTAACTAACAAACTAACCAAAAAAAAAACAACTAACTTACCAACAGACAAACTAATCAAACTGACCAACAAACACACTAACAAACTTACCAAAAGAAAATATTTACTGGCCTATCTGTTTTGGCCAGAATTTTCATTTTGTTGTATTCTAACTAACTAACTAACTAACTAACTAACTAACTAACTAACTAACTAACTAACTAACAACTAACTAACTAACCAAACTAATAACTTACCAACTAACTAACTAACTAACTAACTAACCAAAAAAACTAACTCACCAACAGACAAACTAACCAAACTGACCAACTAACTTAACAAACTAACAAACTAACTCACCAACAGACAAACTAACCAAACTGACCAACTAACTTACCAACAAACAAACTAACAAACTAACTTACCAAAAGACAAACTAACTAACAACCTAACTTACCAACAGAAAAACTAACTTACCAACAGACAAACAGATTAACTAACTAACTACCTAACTAACTACCTAACTAACTATTTAAAGTTGAGATTAATCCACCTATCCCACCTGTGTGCTGGAGCTCATGAGCGAGCGAGTACTGCTCTCAGTCGGGGCGGCTCTACTCGGGGTGGTCTGTGGTTGCCGGGGTCGTACGGGGGCAGGACTTGGCGTGGTCTGTGGTTGCCGGGGTCGTACGGGGGCGGAGCTTGGTGTGGTCGGGGCAGGTCGGGCTCTGGTCGGTTTAGCAGTGGTGGACGAAACGGTGGTGGGCATGACCTCAGTGGTTGTGATGTCATCAGTGGTGGTCTCTGGTGTGCTGGATGTCTCAAACATCATAGTTTCTGTAGTAATGTACAGATCGTCCTCTTCCTCCAGGTCACTAGGGGCCACTGTAGTCTCACCCAGAGTGATGGATGAGTCCACGAACACTTCAGGAACATCAGTCAACCGCGGTGCAACCGTTGCCTTCGGCCTCTCTTGGTCCAACCTTATTTCTGTCACGGATTCCTGATCTCTATCCTCCTCCTCAATCTCCCACTTTTTCTCGTTTTCTATCTCCGGTTTGCTGTCTGTGTCTACATCTTGTCCCAGGCCGCTCTCTCGCTCCAGCTCAGGTGCAGGTGAGCCACTGGGCTCGGCGGCCGGGGGAGCCGAGGGGGCGGGGCCTGTGGCCTGTGTGGTGGAAAGTGGGAGGGGCTCCTTTGTAGTGAAAGCCACACTTGCTTCACTCGGACGAACATCTATATCTGGAACTGGGAGAGAAGAGAAAGAGCTATGAAAACACTGAAGGAGATCAATACTCTCAGCCATTTTAGACCGTGTTAATGTGTCATATGATACCCAGCACAAGCGTCTGCAAGGTTGGTCAGCACAGGAATGTGAACATCCCCATGGCAACACATGAATAAAATATCAATAACCCTGGTAAGAAATACACAAGCACACACACTAGATACAGAGAACAAAGCAAACAGCACTGCAACACCCAAACTCTCCTCATAAAGCACACACACACACAGATGGTGGTTTTTAACTAAAGGCACTTTTATTTCCCAAGAGTTGATTTTTTTATTAAAGCAAACTGATTCCAATAGATAAAAGATTTTTTTTCTTTCTATTAAATGAAGACCACATTAGAAACTTTGCCTTTTATTTTTTTGCTGCTTTTCAAATGCTATATGTGTATGTTTACACTTGACGATTTATCTCAAATTAGGAAAATCCATATAAATATATGTTACATATTTAAAAATATGATAATCTAAACAGTGAGTAAAATAATCGAAAAAACACTTTCGTGAAGATATTATTTTTATATTATTATAGTTATATTATCAAATTTTTTACATAAATTGTTATAAGTTGTGATGTAATTTCCAACACAACCAGTTATTCCACTGATAGTTAAAGGATTATTTTATTTTGTATTGATTTTTATCTTCTTTTACATTAAATGAGACATAAAATGGTAGCTATGGAAAAAAAGCCATTTACTCCATTTTAGTCCAAATAAAGTTAAATTAAACTACGCCTTCAATTAAACTACGCCTTCAATAAAAGCATACAATTTTTGTTGTATTAAAAAAATGTATAAAACACATTTTTTTAAATAAAATTTAAATGAAAATGGAAAGAACATTTTTAAATAAATAAAATAATATATATATATATATATATATATATATATATATATATATACACATATACATATACACACACACACACACACACACACATATATACAATTCAAAATATTGAATCAAAACTATAAATTACACTAAAATAACACTGGTCCAAAATTGTTTAAAATGTCACTTCCACCACAGAATTTGATCAAATACATAAAAACTAAAATTACATTGTGGTGGTAATGTTCATGATTTTCAAGTCTCCTGTGATATATTTATTTGCTGTTAGTTAGAGGTAATTTTTTTTAAAAGGCTTGAAAAGTGTGTTTGAAGATAGTTTATTTTCTAAGCATCCACAGGGCACAAAGTGCACAGAAGAAACACCAAACACTAGCGGATAGTGGCTGTCCACACCCAGATTCCTGCTGATTAACTGATCTTATTTACAGTAATCTGATTACTGAGGATCAGATGATCACACTCACACACACAAACTAAACCTACCCATCACAAAAAACTTTCTGCATTTTTACATTTTAAAAAAGCATCACTTAATCTGATTTATAAGCAATTTTCCTCATGAAGACCAAAAAAAAAAACCCCAAAGATTTCAGATTTTGCCATCCTTGTAGGGACATTTTGTCCCCATGATGTAGTTTACCAGGACCTCACACTCACGAAGAAGTGCTTTTTATCTATGCTTCTATTTTACTGTTGGTCTGTGGACTTTAGTTAAACAGAGGCTAAAATAACTGTATGAAGTTGTGGGAGGAATGTGTGTGTGTGTGTGTGTGTGTGTGTGTGTGAGAGAGAGAGAGAGAGAGAGAGAGAGAGAGAGAGAGAGAGATGAAGGCGTTGAGTTGTGAGAATTACACCAGCTGGTGAGGGGATTGGAAGTCCGGGATGGACTTATAAACAAGGCAGCTGTGACCTCCTAATGAGTGATTCACACGTCACAAACACAACACACACATAACACTCACAGCCAGAGCCGGATCCAGAGGAGAAGTCTTCATCATCATATAACTCATCTCCATCTCCAGAAGTCTCCTCGTCGCTCAGTCGAGATGTGCCACGCTGGGCCTTAAAACAGAGAAAACCAAGTCAGAAATGTTTGTGACGTTTCAAAACCAATATCAGATTTAGTATGTGTGTGTGTTTCTTCATGTGTAAGTGTGAAGGGGTCTTGTGCGGAGCCGTTTCATCGAGAGGCCCGTTGCTAGGGGCAACACTTGCATTTAACCCAATTTCTTAAATTGGGATGAAAATTCAGCAGAAAGAGCTCTAGACTGTCCTCAGACCCAATGTGTCATATAAAGGAGAAAACTGTGGTCATAATAATGCTTTGGTATAATGCAATTATATACATATTTGTTTACAATGCAAACAGTTCCATTAAAAAAGTGGCAAGAAACATGTCAGCAAACCTGTTATGCCATTGATTTTGTTCTCTACTAAAATAGATTTTAATACTTCAATGTTCAAAACACATTATTTTCCACATATTCTCTATTGTTGCGGCACCTCTCTTCCCAGTCTGTCAGTAACGCTCTGTTTAGTTCCTGTCTCTATGAAGCCCCTCCTTTTGAAAAGCACACTGTGCTCTGATTGGTCGGCTGGATCAGTGTGTTGTGATTGGTCAAGCGCTTCCAGTCCCGCCTCTTACCATAACCACCAGTTTCAACACACTACTAAGTCACTCAACCAGGCCCCACCCCTTTATTCTGCATATGAATTATTTAAATGAGGAATATTGTGATGCGTTTGTTCCTTGAAAAAAACTCAATGACTACAATGGAGGCGTGTAAAAGCTCTACACACTCGTCTGTATCATTCTTTGCTCTTGTGGTCTCTTTCCTTCCCCCCACTCTCATGATTGGTTGATCTCCATACCCCATAAATACTTAAACCCATAAACCTACCCCATGCCCTCCCTATAACCCCCCATAAACACACACACTGGCTCAAAACTGC